GACCAAAAAAAAAAAAAAATCCTTTGATGAATGTATGATATGGTTAATTATAAGCTTGTGTTATAATATTTATAATTTTTTAATTTACTGTAAGACAAAGATTAATGTGATGTTTTAAAAATAAATTAAATTTAAATTTAGATTTACTTAGGGGTGAATTTCTTCTCCCATGTTATGTAATCAAACAATCCCACCAGTAAAAACAAATAATATATTAAGCTGTCTTCCAGATATGACATCATAAATGCTAACAAATAGAATATACTGATTGATAGTGACTGTGGTTTTAATTCCAATCTTTTAATTTAATATTTCTTTTCTTTTCTTAATAGAAGAAGCTAAAGGGGAGCTTCTTATTCATTAGACTGTTTTCCTTTAAAAAAACAAGAAGAATTAAGTAATAGCTGCTATGAGTTGAGAGTTCCTCTGTGATGGGTTCATTTCAGATATTAGTGCATGTAGTATCATTTTATCGGTGAGAAGGTTTAAGCACAATGGCATTAAGAACTTCTGCAAGTGCTCATAGCTAACGAGTGGTGCAGTTGTGAGCTGAACTCCCTATTTGTAGTCATGTAGACATCATTCCTTTGGTTCGAGGATTATTTGCTCTTTCTTACTATGCTTTGAGTGTAGAAAACTTGGGCAGTATTATGCTGAATTGTGGCTGTAGGAAGAAATCAGTTCTTACTGCAAAATAATTGAAAGGAATCATAGAAATAGACATGATCCAGGTGTGCATTCTTTTGTTATTCAAATTAAATATATTTTATATTTGCATATGTCAGAAAGTTAATTTAATTAATAAATGTTGGTATAGATTGTAGCAAAGTTGGATTTAAGACCAGAAATATTCTAGAGGTTTTTAAAACATTCTTGTGTATATTTTTATTGAATTTTTGTGAATTTCATACAATAGATCTTAATCACATTTAGACCCACTCCCCTTTCTGCATGACCCCATAGACCCTGACCAGATTTCATGCATTCTATCATATATATGGCAAGGCTTACAGAGTCAAGCTTTTGTACCTATATGTCCCTTGGTGCAAGTTCATCTGCTGGAGTCTAGTCAGTCTATCTAGAGTTCCTCCCTTAAATAAGATCAACTCTCCCTCACCTAGCAGTAATCAATTGTCAATAGTTCTTCACCTAAGGTTGGGGGCTACTTGCCCATTTCCCCAGTTCTATGCTGGGTTTTTGTCTGATTGAGTCTGCATGAGTCTTATTATGTAGTCATCATTCCTATAAGTTCGTATGAGCAAGTTCACAGAGGTCTGGAGTTTTAAATTTAAAATGTAGCAATCTGCTGAGCATGGTAGCACACATATTCAATCCCACTGCTTAGGAGGAATTGACAGGCAGATTTCGGCAAATTCAAATCCAGCTCTGTCTACAAGAGGAGTTTCAGGCCTCCTAGGACATAGTGAGACCCTCTCAAAAAACAAAATAAAATAAAAAGCGATCTAATAGTTTTATTCCATCCCCAAATATTCTTTGAATATCTATACCCAGATTAAAAAATAGATCTTAGCCCCAGACACCTGGGGAACCAATACTGCTTCCTGATCCTTCTCACCCAGACCAACTCAGTCCTTTTCTTGGGCTCCAGGAGCACCGCTTCTGGTCCTGGCCCCGCCCTCACCCCTCTCTGTTTCCCTGGGCCTGCACCACCGGCTAACTCTCCTAGCCTGCACTACCATCCTCAGGCCTCTTGGGATAAGTCTATAGCGCAGCTCCCCGCTCCGGGATTCCCTAAGCCACATTCCCCCTTCCATCCCTCCGCCTCGCCTTTCTATACTCCTAGTTTGAGCCCTGCGCCATTCCTAGTCTTGGGGCCCCAGACACCTGGGGAACCAATACTGCTTCCTGACCCTTCTCACCCAGACCAACTCAGTGCCTTTCTTGGGCCCCAGGAGCACCGCTTCTGGTCCTGGCCCTGCCCTCACCTCCCTCTATTTCCCTGGTCCTGCAACACCCGCCAGCCTCTTTCTGGGGCTGACAGCCTCTTTCTGGGGCTCCGAGGCTTACCTTTACTCTCCCTGATCCTTTGCATCCAGTACAAC